ATGAAAAAATATTATCAAAAATCCTAGCTATTATGGCTAGAATGTCTTTCATTCTGCCCCCCCTTCAATAAAAGTCACAGACCACTCATCATGGAAACAGCTCATAAAATTGTACTTTATTCATTCAGTAACTCAATAAAGGAAATGTGTTTAGAATATTTTTATATGTAAAGCCTATGCTATGAAGGACTTATATATCCTTCATATATGAAGGAACATGGTTTTACAATAAAGTGCTTATAAAGGCTACCACAGAAGGTCCCTGCCAAAGAACTTCAGGAATCATCTGATCCTAATTCCTCTTCTACAGAGTAGGAAAGGAAGCCTGTTAAAAGTCATCAGAAAAAGTGATGTATTCTTCATTCTTTCTTGCCTACTGTTAACATGGCATCCTCATAACAATCCTATCTTACCATCTACTGATAGGAATTTATACCATCATATACACGCATACTGTCTCAATTGTGTCTGGTTTAAAATCAGCTAACTATTCAAGTTGTATCATGTTGTAACATGTCTGCTTTGCTCTCAGTAACTTTCCTGAGTATTTGCATGTGCATAGCCTTGCTTCAGATTGCAGGGCAGTACAGTATAAGGGTTGGGTACATAGGCATTGACACTAGACTGCAATCCCAGTTTTGTATTTATCCAGCCCATTGTCTTGGACAGGTTAGTTACTTTAAATATTAGTTTCCTCATGTATAAAATAAGGAGAAATAACATTAGGGCTATGGTGAGATTTAACAAGATAATATATTTAACCTGCCCAACAAATGGTAAGTTGATAAATGGTATATAGAAGTAGAAAGACTAGTAATAGTAGTAATAACAGTAGTAGCGAGAGTAGTTTTGGGCTCCTAGCAGGGAGAACAAAGTTCCCCTAAGAATAATGCCCAACAAAACCTCAAGTGTACATATCTCTGATAATAATGATAGCTAGTAAAGATCATTTAGTGATATAAAAATATAACTGCGTGGAGAATCATTGGGTAGTTGTTCATATGTTTTATATTATAAAAATAATATCAAAGTATAGATGAGGCATAAGAGTACGGACCAAGCCCTGGCCAGTTTGGCTGAGCGGTTGGGGCACTGGCCTGCAGACCAGAGAGTCCCAGGTTTGGTTCCTCCTAGGGGCACATACTAAAAAAAAAAAAGAGTACAGACCAATTTCATGTATATCAGGTAAGTTACAATATAAGAGCATGAAGGTCTCCATGAATGTAAAATGGCTTTTATTCCTAAGGAGCAGGTTCACTTGAGATTTTAAAAGGTCTGAGTTCTGGCTCTGCCCCTGACAAGCTGCTTGACTTGTCTCTCTAGATTCTACTTGGTAGAAATGGAATGAAAAATAAAACAGGCAATAAATGAGATATGCAGGTACAATAACTGTACAAAGCAAGCATTTCTAAAGCTGTTACCCAATATTGTTCAAAAAAGTGAACCTTGCTCTCTAAGACAAAAAGCAAAAACATTTCTATGGAATTAAAAGGTCTTTGATCCGAAAACAATTACGTTCTTGTCCTCCTTTTTGGAAGCGATTCTTATCATATTCTGTGCACGTCATACCTAAGGTCCATTCCCATAATCTAGAGAGACAAAGAGCCTTGGAAGTAAATCCAAGTATTAGTAAATCCAATTAAAAATGGACCTTATTTTTTCCCAGGGAAAAAAAAAAAGAAAATCATCCGGAAGCATCGGTAAATGAGAAAAATACAACCAACCAACCAAGCGAAAGCTGTCGGTGAGAACACTGGGGAGTGGGCGCTGTTCGCAGGTGGAGGCGCTGGCAGGCTGGAGCACAGGCCCCCTCGGCCGGATCCCACCTGCCACTCTCCCCAAGTCACTGAACATCTGCTTGTAAGGTAGCCACCCAGGAAGAAAACGATATTCTTAGACTCCCCTGCACCTAAGTGTGGCCACCTGACTGGGTTCGGTCAGTGGGACGGAGGGATCATATGGCAGCTAACGGGACCCTCTTAGCGAACATGGCACAAGCTTTAGCCTCCATCGCCTTCTCTTTCTGTGCCCTCTGATTGGAATGAGGATGCTGGGTGGTCATGGGGATCAGGGCAGATCCAGGGCTACTGTGTGGGGTTGATGCACAGTTGTACAGCAAACTAGGGGGAGGGGCCCAAAGAGCTGGGCACAGCCAGGGTCCCGAACAACGGGGAGGTCACAGTACTGGCCCTGGACAGATGGCATCTAGTTTTGTGTTATATGCAGAAAACCTAATTCAATGTACACACTAGAAACATCTAGTCATCTCTTCCACATTTGTACTGCAACAGAGCAATAAATGTAGAATGAAAGCACCTCTGGGCTAAGGAATATGATCATTGTGTGCATTTCTTTCCCAAAGGTGTATGGACTCAGAAGGAAACCTGACTAGCCAACATGCAGCTATAATTAGGATGGTAGGTTATAGGTGTTCGTTTTTTGTTTGTTTGTTTGTGGGGTATTTTTTTGGTAGGAAGGGGCGTAGGTCAGCATGAAATATAGCAGTCAAAAAAGGAATAAATAAAACACAGATATTTTCCTTTATACTTTCCTGAACTTTGCAAACCTTGTTAATGAGCATATAATACTTGCAAAACAACCCCCCCCCTCCCCAAAAAAAGAGTCAACTTAACTACACAAATAAAGATGCAGAGTTAAAAGAAAAATCAGTCTGGAACATCATTTTTAGAATCAATATATTTGTCCATGGAAAGTATTATCTATTTCTTAGGCTGCCTCTGCAGAACCCTAATAGTAGGCACACTGCTGCCTTTACTCAAGAGGCTCCTGGAGTGTTTTTGTCCTGCTCAGTCCCCATCTCTTATCTCAAACGGTATGACCCAGGCCTAGGCCTGAAGCTACCTTTAAATACAGTCTTTTCCATGATCTCATTCTTTTGGTGGAAGTGATCCCAGCAGCAGTGTAATCTCTCTCTTTTTACATGATACTATTGCTATTAGTAAACATTTTGTATCTTCAAGAATATTATAAAGTTTTCGGGAAAAAGGTAGCTCTTCTTTGTCTTTATACTTACCTATTCATTCATTTGTTCATTCCCATGTTCACTTACTCATTTGATAACTGATTATTTCATATCTCTGTGATATGCCAGATATTGCACAAGATACAAAATGGTATAAGGGAAACAGGAAAAATGAAACACGTTCTGTTCATTCAAAAAGTGAGCTTACCGTGGATAAAAAGAGACAGAGTAGAAAAGAGGTAAATTTAATACAATGCAACCATTTCTAAAGGAGAGAAATGCTTATTTATACTTGAAGAAATTCAGGGAGGCCCTTACAGAAGTACTGGTTCTTAAATTAATTTTTTACAAGAACTATGAGGCATTTCCCAGGCACATAAGAACATAGAAAATGTGGGGAGGGAAGGGCAAAGAAAACTATGTGGCTCATATTCTTGAAAAACTATTGCAGAACGAAAAGTTCAGTTTCGTGTAGTTAAAAGCACAGGACTTGAGGGGAGACTTGAAAGAGACTAGGAGCATTGAACATCACATTTCCCCCATGCTTTAAACATAGTATTGATTTAACCAATGTTTGTTGGCTGATGTCATATGTACTCAGCAACTGGCATTGAGTCCCTATACTGGTTGACCAGACCAGACCTTCTAGATATTTAGGGGACAGCAATGTTACACAATATCATAGTATCATATGTGCGTATATACATATATACATATACATATAAGTGTATATATGTATGTGTATGTATATCTATCTATCTATCATCTATCTATCTATCTATCTATCTATCTATCTATCTATCAATCATCTACCTATAATTGCAGGACATGACATTTGGTTCTATCCAAACTGTCTTTACTTAAAAAAATTCTCTGGGTTCAGAGAACCCATAATATTTAACTAGACTTTTGGTTTACAGGATTAATGTATAAAAAATACCATAATGTTTTAATGGTCCAATAGTTGTGTTGTGGCGGCCTTCTCAATAATAACCCTCTTTTTCTCACTAGCCTAGCTGCTAATGACCATGGGTGAGGTAGATGGGTCTGTGTGGTCCAAATGTTTCCATGGATGTTTTGGACAGGACCAAATATCAAAGACCTTTTGGCATAAACCATATATCTCTGTGACATCTTAGGGCCAAATATCCACTAATCATATATAAGTAAAATATATAATTAATTGTAATGCACTGCTTCAATTTTCACATTTCCTCAGACAAGGAGCCTGAACTAATATTTTAAGTAATTATAATGTGTGATATTTAAAGAAGAATGTTATGTTGGTACATGTCCAGACCATTGCTGTTTTCTGAGCCTATACTTGAAAAAAAAAAAAAAAAAACTGTCTGATTGCAATAAATGTGGTCACTCAAATGATTGTACTTAAGAAAGAAGTTGCAAAACAGTGGGTTTCCTCAGCAGAAAATTATTTATTCCACTACTCAATTTGAAATAAGCCATATATTAAATATCAATTAAATATAATTATCTTAAATAATGAAGGAGGGGACGTTATAAGCTCAATAGAAGATGACATTTAATGCTATAAATAAATAAATAAATATTTATTGATCACAGTATAGCATACTACTTTCTTTCCTCAAAAAATACAAAGAAAAATTAATACATTTTATTGTTAGATGTGTTCACAAAGATGTAGAGATTAGGGTATAAACATATTTCTTAAAGGCTCTTGAAAACTTTAAAGTACTAAAGTAATATTCTTGATTTTTTAACGGTGTAGCCTAAGATATTAAATTATTGTGTTCAAAAAAGAAGGAAATTATATTTCAAAGTGTAACTACCACTGCTTTTCTAATTTCAGGAATTTTTCTAGCTTTCCATATTGAAGCAGTTTTTTTCTAAGTACCAAGTATTTGTAATAAAAGTTTCTTTATTTTTTTTTTATATGAAGAGCTACTATTGTGTTTTCTGAATTTTGGTTCTGATGTGTTGCATTCTAAGGAAACTCTACTGATTAGAGTCTAAAGAAGAAAAGAAGTTCGTTTCATACCTTCAATAGGTTTTGGTACAAAATGTGACGAGGGCTTGGTTTTCTTTACTCTGTTCCCCTTCATAATCTGACCTTCTTTATTGAGTCCCAGAAACCACGCTCGGCCTGATTCTTGCTGACGGTACAATGTGGAAGAATAGATCACGTAGTAGTTTTCAAACACAGATTCCTTAAATTTGCATTCTGGAGTGAAAACATCCTGCAAGGAAAAAAAATAAAGAGATACAAAAGAGGGAAAGCATTTTAAAATGAGTCAGCAATTGCTTAAACGCAATGAACCTGAAATATAGGTCCATTGTTAAGAACAAGTGAAAAGAAGTTGCACATTATTTCTATTAGTCCTTGGCTATAAATATTCATCATGCAAAATTGAAAAACAAGATTTTCTTTCTAAACAGCCTTTATACTACAGGATACAGCTGCTTAGGCTAGTCACTCACTGGGCTAATATCAAGGCTATGCTCACATCCAAACTTGGACCCCAGTATGTTTTGCAAATTTAAGAGACAGGCTATTGTACATTTTAGTAGCCCTTAGCACATAAAATGTATCCCTGGGGATCAAAATCAAACAGAACAACAGCACACACAGGCTCACCAGATGTGTTTCTAGGGTCTATCCTAGATGTACAAAACCCTATTACACAGCCAAGGCTTGTTCCACAAAATCACCAGCATACTATCTCTTTGCTTAATGTCAGTAACTTTCCACTTAATTTCTTACAACACTTTTTTATTTTTTTACTTAGTAATCAAAATCTCAGGCAAAGATACCCAGGAATAAGTAGTAGAAAAAATATTACAACTACACTGCTTGATCTTCAGTGAAACAGAATGAGATTTTAGTTCAAAAAGGAACCTCGTGGTGAACACACAATACAATACACAGATGATGTATTATAGAATTGTACACCTGAAATCTATATAACATTATTAACCAATGTCACCCTGATAATTCAATTTAAAAAGTTTAAAAGATAGAATCTTCAAAATCCTCTACTTCAACTCCATCACGTGACAAGTGAGACAACCAAAATGTTATATGAGTAATTCAGAATTACACCAAAAATAATTAGAGTCAATCCAGAACTCACATTTGTTGCTTCACAATCACTGCCTCTCAAGCTCAGCTTTTCTGCCTGTCTTGTTTAGTGACTTATGATGTGATTGTATAATACATACAATAAATATGTTGGCTATTGTAAACAATACTGAAATGAATGTGGGAGTAAAGATATTTCAATATCCTGATTTCATTTCATTTCATTTGGATATATCCCCAAGTGGGATTGCTAGATCATAAGGTAGTGTTATAAACCAGAAAAGAGAGAAAGTGGTAGATATGTTAAATAATGAATATGTTAACTAGCTTTATTGCAACACATATTTCACAATTTAGTCATATATATAAAATAGTCAAGTCGTACATCTTAAAGATATAAAATTTTTATTTTTAATTATACTTCAATAAAATTGGGAAAAACTGTCATGGGATAGATTCAAGCATAGCTAAAATGAGAAAATAGATAATGCCAAATGTTGACAAGGATGTGGAGCAACTAGACCTCTCATACATAAATGATAGGAGAATAAATTGATAAAACTACTTTGAAAAATGTCTGGCAGTATTTATAAATATAAGTATATTCTATGATCTAACAGTTCTACTCCTGGATTTATACCCAATGAAATCTATCTATTTATAGTCACCCCTTGGTATCTACATGAGATTGCTTCTAGGATGCCCCCCCCACACACACACACACCAAAATCAGCAGATGCCCAAATCTTTTATATAAAATGGCATAATATTCACATATACCTACACAAGTCCTCCTGTATAGTTATGTGATCTCTAGATTAATTATAATACCTAATAGAATGTAAATTGTATGTAAAGAGTTGTTATACTGTATTGTTTAGGGAATAATGACCCTCTCACCAAAAAATTCTGTACATGTTCAGTTCAGATGCAACATGGTAAGCCTAACTACATAGTACATATCACCACAGCATAACTTTTTTCCCCAAGTATGTTTGAGCTAAGGTTGGTTGAATTCATGGATGTGAAACCTACAGAAACAGAAGGCAGACTATATCTACCTGTGTAGCATCTATCTATCTATCTATCTATCTATCTATCTATCTATCTATCTATCATCTGTCTATCTATCTATCTATCATCAATCTATTTACCTTCCAAAGACATGTACAAGAATGGTCATAGCAACACTATTCTTAATAGCCTAAAACTGGAAACAATAATAGGATGGATATGTAATATATTCAGACAATAAGATACTAAAGACCAGTAAGAAAAAAAAAAAACTACAACTATAAACAACAAAAATGAATAATTCTTTCCAACATAACGTGGAGAAAAAGAAGCCAAACAAAGAAAATGACAGCTATATACCGTATCATTCCATTTATATAAAGCTCAAAAACAGTAAAAACTAAATTACTGTGGTGGGACTCAGAATATGGTACCTTTATTCAAGGAGGGTAATTATTGAGATGAAGAATCGAGAGGGCTCTGGGGAGGTTGTTACATGAGTGTGTTCACTTTATGAAAATTCATTGAGCTCTATACTGATTCGCACACATTTTAATGTATGTTATTTGTCAATTAAAAATCCATGGAAGGATAAAAAATGTGGTGAAGATGAAGTAAAATGACAAATATTACTTCCCAAAATAACTGTCCTTCTCTTAAAATCAAGTTTTTCCCACACAATGAGCTATTTGATGCATGGTCATTTTATACCAGTAATAATCATTCACTAACAAGTTACAGGCAAATTTTAAGGTGAGAATATAACAAATTTGGATCTCATTATACTTATTAAAGAAAAAGATATTTTTCATTCTCTCTCCAATTCATTCTTTATACTTCTCATTAATTTTTTTCCAATTACAATTGGCAGTCAATATTATATTAGTTTCAGGTTCTACTCATTTTCTTATTGTAGGTGATTATATATATAATTCATACACTTACATGTTTTATTTACAAATAGTGATTGTAAAACTGTTTAAACTAAAACTAATCACTTTAATAATAACGTCAAGACATAAAAAGAACAGAATAAAAAAGGGAATTTCCAACAACACATGGAGAAATGCACAATAAATTGTTTCTGGAAAATCATTTGGCTTCTCCAAATTTCAGGTTTATTTTCCAAATTGTCAACCTGATCTTTGGCAAATCAGTTAACCTCTTTGAACCTCAATTTCCTCCACTATAAATTGAAGACACGTTTAAAGATTACATTATACAACATACGTGCAAGTTGTTTAATAGCCATAAAAACCCACACCATTATTTGACATTTCTATTACAGAAAGTACTTTTACATCATAACTCTAAAAATTTCTACATTTTAGAGTGACACCTGCTTGGAATACATGTTTGATAAGTAAAGAATATTATGTCATTCACTCACAACCACTTTTGCTCCTCCTGGCTTTATCTGCAAAATGTATGTTTTTCAACTCCAGTAGAAGTACGTGACTTGTTTAATCCTCTATAGTTAATATAATTAAATTGTCCCATAATTATGATTTGTCTTCATCTTATTCTTTGCAGATCCCCATTCCCTGCTCACTGCTCTGGCTGTGATAGTCCAGGGGATGAATGTGAAATGAATGAATGAACGAACACTCATTGCACTGCAGCTATCTCCTTGCTGTTTCTCAAAACAACAAGCATAACCCATTCAAGTCCTGCACAACTGATAACCTCTGTTCTTGAAAACCTCTTCGATAACATATGAACACAGCTTGATCTCTCATTTCATTAAGGTCACTGCTCAAATGTGACTCACAGACTTCCGCTGACTACCTTATATAATTTAGCACTTCCTCCAGCTGCTTTCCAACCCTTTGCTTTTTCCTACATAACACTACCTGACATTATATTAAATATGAATCTATTTAAGTTTCTTGATGATAACCACCATTATTGTTATATTCCCCTCATATTTTCAACAATTCTTGCAATTAAAAAAAAATCTACTTCAACAAAACCGGTGAAAAGACATCATGAGCCTGGATTTTTATTCTTGCATATCTCTAATTTGTGTTCAAGTTTGGAAGATCATTTTCCTTTTTAGGTTCCATGTTCCCCTGAATGTAAAAGAGAAGTGTTGAACTAGGCAATAACAAATGTCCCTTTTGACTTAAATCTTTTGTATCTTTACATTCATATAAAATAAATAATTTCTTGAAATTAAAGAGCCAATATAAAAAAATATTATTTCAAAATTAGTGCTTACATGCCAAAAGATGGTGATAATATATTAAGAAAACAAAATACAAAATGTAAATGAAAATATAATCAGGGAAAATAACTTTACTATTATAGAATTAATTATAACTAATGATTCTCTCTAATATTAAAATCACAGATTTTTCAAACATGTTAGATACAAAGGATTCTCTTGTTTTGCTCTTTTTCCTTTCCAATTAGAACCCAAAATCTAAACAATTTTCAATGTACAAAAGCATCTTCCCTGTCTGCTGTGCAAGCTTGTTTATTGGGTAGTATATAAGAAAAAAAAAAGAAATAAGTTTGAAAATTCTTAATAAAAATTTATGTCCAACAACCCCAGAGATAGACAGTTCCTTTGATTAATAACCTTTGAATATCTCACTGTGAAGTTTCTGTTTTCTAACTTCATTAATGGCTGTTAGATGCAAAGAACTTGTACATTTTTGGTATATTAGCAGTTGTTTGTCAAGTGTATGGTTAGACATAATGACATTAAGTCAAGCAAGAGAACTAGTGTTTTCTATCTTTTATTTTTATCTTCAGCAGAGGATACTTTTGCATTTATCTTCAGATAGAGTGGGAGGGAGAGAGGGAAGAAGAGAGAGAGAGAGAAACATCAACGTGAGAGAGACACATTGACTGGTTGCCAACCACACAACCCCAGCTGGGGCCGGGGACAAACCGCAACTGAGGCACGTGCCCTTAGTGGGAACCGACCCAGACTCTCTGGTTGTGGGCCAGTGCTCTAACCGCTGAGCCAAACTGGCCAGGGCTTGTGTTTTCTATCTTGATGAGGCAAAGAAAATGCTAAAATACATTATCTCAAATGGAGCTTTAAAAAAATAGAACAAGTCTAATTTTATAATTAAAAAAATACTTTGCAGATACAGAAATCTTCATATAGTTTTAAGATAATTTTTACTGGAA